CATCATTCATTTCATTGTTTGCTGGGAATTAAAAATCAGATATTTGCTTAATATTTCAAAACTCATGAGCATATTAAGGTACTTTTAAATACATCAAGTATTTTTGGGAACTAATCACTTCTGATAAAGTAATTTGATTAGAACTACTTGGAAAAAGATGGGGTGTGGCCGTAAAGGCACTTCCTTCCCTAGCTATGAATAGATTTCAATCAATATTTGTTCTTAATGTGCAATATTGAAAACTAAAATTTTACTTTTAAAGATACTCATTCTGTGATTTGATAGTTTACTGTTTATTGCAAAGGAGATGAGAGCTATTAGAAATCATCTAGAGGCTGACAAGCGAATGTGTGGAGCATTTATTTGCTAATTGTTTAATGTTAATCTATTTTTCAACTTTACATATTATCGTCCCGTTCCAAGATTAAATTTCAAATAATAATAGTAATAAATCTATTAAATTAGTAAAAATATATTTTAATTTTCTAAAGGAATGTAGCTTATGTTAAGAAATGGTATTATTAGTGGATTAGCAATTAAGGTCGCACCATTTTTGAAATTAACAATGCGCATGGTACTAAATGTTGCAACCTAATGTTTAAGATGATTTATATAAGTAAGTTTTGTTCAACCGCAATCTATGAATTTTTTTGTTCGAGTAAATGTACCTTAATTTCAGATGACTTAAAATGAAATACCAAGTTTAGAAAGATGGAACATCTTCGCCAGTTTTTTTTTTGTTGGATTTTTATCCAGATTCCAAAGCAACTAAAGCTTTTCGTGACATTTGTACTGTGTAAGGAGAGGGTGCCATTGCTAGAAGAACCTCTCGTAGAGGCATGTCATGCTTAAAAATATAAATTTTGACTTCACAGTGTCACGTATTTCTGACAGCTCAGTTGAGTTTGAAGATCGTTAAAAATAAATTAAAAGAGGAAGAATTTTAATGTTTTTTGTTAAATCAAAAAAGGAAGAACACTAACAAAGATTATGCCAACATTAGAAAAAACTTCGTCAAAAAGATATGCATGTAAACATATATTACATACTGTCATAAAGAAATGTTTGTACGCAACTTGCTTTCTTGTTAATATATACATTTGTGGTAGCAGAGTGGATTTTTTTTTAAATAGAGTTAAGAAATGGAATAAGAATGAAAATAGAGAGTGTGGTCCACGAAAAGGTCCACGAAATTTGTTAACTGATATGGAATTTTACATCTTGCATTTTTTGTTGGAATACCTAAATCTAATCACATTATAGCTGGCTGCAGTTAAGGTGCTGGTGAGTGACCACTTTGATCAGGCAGCGAAGGGACCGATGGTGTGCGGTATCAGTTCTCGTTAAAATGTGCTTGACTTCACGGGGAATTCATTCCCTCCACAGAGGATCAAAATTGTGACGGCATTATCATCCTCAGGGATATTTTTCAGATCGTCGCGAATAACCAATCCTTTGTCTCTTCCTCTGAGGCTAATTTCTCCCAATACTTGTTCCTGGAGCTCTCTTGTCCTCTGGATTGAGTTCAAAATAACAAGGTTACAGAGTTTTTGGCCAAAATTTTGGCTGTTCAACGTCGGTTATGAAATAATTCTTTGTGCAGCTCTAGTGTAACATAAAAAAGCAACAACTGCAATTGCTGATTACATAGTGTTTATTTCATAAATAAAGTGCGAGGGTAAAAAAAAAAGAACTATCTAATAGCTTCAGCACAAATTTCTTAAAATTCCCTTTATTAATAACGTGATTTTACACTGCATCTTAAAAAAGACTTTCATAAAATATTAATGCTGTGATGTTTAATTTTGCATTTCCTCCGGTAATAAGGTAAACATGGTTGCTTTATAACTGCCTCTTTTAATTAAAGAATTCAGTCATTACTTCTGCAAACAGCTGCTAACCAATAATGGCACACTTTGCAATTTTTGCAAAAACTGTTCACTTTCTGTTTGAAGTCAATCCCCGCACGCAGTATTTTTATTCATCGTCGCTAGGGAAAATATTATGAAAGAAACACGAAAGAAAAGCAATTCAAAAATGAACAAAAAAGCTCGGAATTAAAAACGTAAGAAAGTTTCACTCAATTTTTATTTTTTTATATATAGTTAATGCAAGCTTGATATCCTATTATAATTACGCATCCTGAAAAACAGTCGCATTGACTACAAAAAAAGTAAATAGTAAATGCCTTATTTTACATCTATAACGTTGATCGGTAAATAAAACAAATAACTGAAAAATAAAAAAAAAGAATTGAATTATTTCTTTGTATTTGTCACTTATAGAGCTCACAATAAAATTATTCATACTTTTTTTTTTCAATAATGTGATAAAGGAAAGAATAGGAAAAACAAATATAACTATTCGCGTGTAAACGTTTTTTTCAGGATACAAAATATTTAAAAGGTTCAACTTTTTTATTCCTCATTAGCACTTATATTGAAATGCAATGGCGTTTTGTACTTCTTTCAAATAAAAAAAGATATTCGAAAATATCAATAATTTAATACTTATTCTGTGTTAAATGCTTTACCTTGATGTAAAACACTTAATTTTACTCTCACATAACGTAAGTGATTTGGAATTGAACACTTAAAACATTTAATTAAGCTTTAAATGGAAGCACAATGAGATAGATAAAAGTTGGTGTGGAAATATAAATCTTTAATAATAAAATAAAGCATATTTTTTTGTCTCTCTCATATCTGTCTGTGTGTCTCCAAAACCATTTGTTCCATCGCCATGAAATCTAAACAACGGTTGCTAGGGCAAATTTTAGCTTTAATTCTAAAATTGGCTCGAAAATTCAATTGAACCCTCAGAGGGCGAAGGTTGAAAAATGTAATTTTTTTACTGGTTAAGCGTTAGACACTGTTTTAAATCAAACTATAGGCGATTTTATGCTTTCTAAATATGTTAAGCTTTACTGTGCTGTTTGCTAGCTCATAGCTATATAAGATCAAACGAAGAATTTATTATACGTACTTAAATGCTTAAATTTATTTATTCACCAGTGACATAAATTCAGTGATCAAAGTTAACATCTTAAAATTGGTGAACTAAGTCATCAATTTATAATTTAAAAAGTTATCCACCCGAGTTATTTAGTTTACAGTAAATCTTTTAAATGATGTTTCGTTAAAATTAAACTATTTAAATTCAACTGTGAAATTGAATTGAAATGAAAAAAAAAAAGTATTGAAAGGAATAACTAATGAAAAATTGGTACTAATTACTTTAGACGAAACGTAAATTTCCATGTTCTTACTGACACCAATGCTTATTTAATTTTGTTAAGCAAAGTTATTAGGGAAACGACAATTATTCGTTTTGCAAAACCACATAAATTCACAACTGATGTCGATGGCTAATTAGTTTTAATATAATGTATAAATTAAAATAAAAATAAGCTATGTACTAAAAATCAGAGTAAATGGAGAACCAAACTTATTCGTTTAGGATAACGGTATTAAATAGCCATGCAAATATTGACGCAGGTTACGCTTAGATAATTTTGGTACTACGAATATTATAATAATTAATGCAGTTTCAATAAGGAATTATTTCACGAGTTTTTCGTAATCTTAGAAGACATCCAGCAAATGTATCAAAGATAGTACATTGATTAGAGTTGAAAAAAAAAAATTTTTCTCACCTTTACATACAAATAATTTAAAGAGTATTTTGAATGTTAAATCGAGAAACGATCATGGATTTAGTATAGAAATTTATGATAAAGGAAAGAAATTTTTTTTATTCTTTAAAACAAAATTATTTTTGCTTCACAATACTTCAAAGTTTGCTGTTTCTTTTGGAACAACAGAACGTGTGTTTTAAAGCCTAGGGTTGGGTGGGAAAATATATCTGAAATCTATTTAACAATCTATTCCAACTGTACACTTTAAATATAGTTAAAGTAAAATGATTCATGGTGTAAAAAATACTATACTTTATAGAACATTTTCAATCATTATAATTTATTTAAATTTTTATTTGTTAGGTAAAATCAAAACTTGCTTTACAATAATTCAGTTGCTATTAGTTCATAATTCAATTTTATTAGTTCACCTGAAATACAAAATTTTGTTCAATTTCAAAGCAGTATAGCCTCAGACTAAATTTCAATTTACATCGGTATTTTGTCAACTGATACTAATTTCCATTTCTGTATCTTGCACTGCATGATATAAAAACTAACGAGCCATAAATAAGATGCTGGATCATCAGTTTAATTAGTATGCAGTAAATGGTACAGATAAATGCATTTCAAAATTAATACAGCTTTCATAATTAGTGCAGTTCATAATTAGTGCAGTTCATAATTATACTTATTTTAAATAGAATATTGCTATAGAAATGAATTTTAATTAGATATGATAATATTAATATTTAACTCATAATTATAACTTAAATGATGATTAACTTTTTTAATACACAATAAAACTTTTCAAATATTTTCATGCTGTTTACTGTACCTACTGTAATGTGAAATAAGAAGAAAATTAAAGCACTGTTAAATATATTTATCAAACATCGTTCAACAAATATCAATGTTCAATTACGATAAATATCGAATTTCAGTTTAGATCTGATATTTTAAAAAATAAGTCAATTATTGCTTTTAAAATTGAATAAATTATTGAAAGGTTTTATTAGCGTCACGCTATCCACTAAAATCGATACAAAAAATTTGCTAAAGTTTTGAGAGCATGATACACTTTTAATTCTTGTAAAGTAGTTGACATTCCATTTCCTCATCGCAAAGCATGGCATTTACAAACTAGTTCCTATGATAGATTTTTAAATATTCTCCCTTTTAACAACCGACAATCTTATTCAGTAAGAATTAGAGCCCTTGGAATTTTCAGAGAGTGCTCTTTTTACAGAATTTCGCTTGATAAATGATACAAATGGCACTTGTGTGAAACGCCACCTAGCGGAAATGTCAATAACACGGAGACCGCTGGTAGCTGAACGATCATTCGCTTTCTTAACACAGTTTTGGATCCTACAACCGTGCAAAAGAACGTAGCTCTGTAATTTCGCTGGAGAAGAAACCTTCGATTGCTACCGGACTCTCTGGAGATTTAAATCTTTCTTATTTCTTTTATTTATCGAAAGAAAGAGTTTCAAATGAGAATTTTATTTGTGACTTTTAACACTTGCAAAAATGCTGAATTGTAAAAATCTTCAGGAAGAATAACCACCTGTTAATCAAATTATATATCGTACAAAGGATAAGTCAATTAGACTTTTATTTTTCGAATTAAAAATTTGATTATTTTATTACATGATAAAAATAATTTTTTTCTAAAATTAAAGTTTGAATAGGGAAACATATATTAGAAGAAATGAGAAAAAATATATATTAATAATCACATTTGAATAATTAGCGTTTCTAACACTATTTAAAGAGAAAGGAAAACTGGGAAAATGAAGAAATCATGATATGCAAATTTTGATTAATTTTCGAAACATTGAAACGAGTTTCTGACTTAATTTCAGGAACATTTGGTTTATATAACTAGCAATGGAATTTTGTGGAAGCTTGTGGACTCTTGTATTAATTATAAATTTGATGTTCTCCTTTTATCTTTGCAAAGAGCCAAGTAAGTAAAACTTTTATTCCTTATATTCGTCTTTTTTATAAAATTATGCCCAAAATATTCCTGTTTTGATGTACAAAATTTATTAATTTTAATTACATTACATACTCATTGCCTACAAAAATAGCAAAAATCTTAAAATCTTAAAAAAAATTATGACAGCCCATTTCTTAATTAAACGCTCACTTAAAGGATGCAATAATTAATATGTGATATGTTAGTAGAATGCATCACATAATAATAGTGATGTTTTATTTTGTGAAATATTTATAATATAGTTTGTAATATAATATATATAATTGACTTTCTTAACAATGTTATTTGTTAAAATTTTATTTACTAATATTATAAATTCAGAATTGAATATTTTTATGTTTCTATAATTTTGAATAGTCTTATAATTTTGGAATATAAGAGGGGATTTAATTTAAAGCATTTAATTTCAAATAAATATTTATTCAATTTTTGAAAATAATTCTAATTAAAAATATTTCATCAAGGAACACATAACTAGGACTTTTTTAAGATTAAAGCTTTTTTGGAATCAATTTCGCATATTATGTCAATTGTCTTTATGTTCCATCACTTGATATCTACAGTCCATAACAATCTCACGAAATATTATATGATATATTCATTTGTTCTGTTCTAACCACATTATTTACTATAATTCATTATTGCAAATTATATATATTTTCAAATTATTGATAGATGATTATAGTTTTCTCGATCATTAAAATATATATCTAGCGAAAATATGAGCATTTAATTAAATATCTATGAATGTTCTGATTTATATATTTTGTCTTCAGACAGAGAACTAATTTCACTAGCGATACTAAATTCTTTTCAAGTTCTGAGAAAAAAATGATTTCTTGTTTGTTATTATTGTAATTTTTAATTAGATCTGTAAAAGTACATGATATGATATATGTAATTGAAATCGCTGAAAATATTTAAATGCTTAACTGCCACATGTTGGAAAGAATAACTTAATTACTTTTGATTTATTCATATCACCTTGTTAAAAAATTCAAAAATGGAATTTTTCACGAATATATATATATATATATATTACG